TTTTGTTACACAAGTGGCTTAATACAGGGACAATCGGTACTGTTTTTCAAAATAATCCCAAATGATTAAAAACGGAGATCATCTGCTTTATTACATTCTCAGTGCCAACCTGGCAGGCACAGCGTGAAAGCGGGTTCTTCCTCCAACAGGCAGAACTCAAAAATCGCCTAGATACACACAAGTCACCAAAGATAGATTTTCTTGGAGATGTGACCTAAACGCGTCTTTGTCATCTGATAGTTTATTGCGCTTATTCCTTTGTTCAAATACATATTTCAGTAAGCACTTACTAAGGACCAGGAGATGCAGATACAGTGAGAGATGAAGGTTTGATCCTCAAACTCGAGGACCTGCACGCGAATAAATAAAGGAGTGTGCTAAATCCTGCAAAAGAGGTCAACCCAGGGTGCCTGGGGAGCCACAGCATGGTGGTCTCAGAGGAAGCGATGCTGGGGGGTGGTCTCCGAGAGGAGCAGGTTCTTCTAGGTGAAGAAAAGCGGGGAAGAAGAGCCCAGCTCAGTGAGGCATGGAGGAAGAGGCCAAACCTTCACAGAGTGGGTCCAGGAGATCAGAATGACTGGAGAGAGAAGGTGCTCTGGGCGGAGGCAAGAGAAGGCCAAAAAGGAAGCCAAAGGAGCGTCTGGAGAAGGTAGCAGGGGCCAGAGCAGGAAGGATCTTAGTGTCCCAAGGTAGAACGAGTGGGCTTGGGTTCACAGACAGTGGGGAGCTGCACTTAGAGGATCTTAAGGGACTGGTGTCTTCTGATCAGAGGATCACTTTGGCGGCAGCCTCGAGGACACGTTGGAGGGCAATGACATTAAAAATGAGTAAAAATGCTACTGCAAAAGCCCCAGGAATGAATCATCAGGGTCTCAATAAAGGCAGGGGCTATGTATATGGAGCAGAGGGGGCGGATCCAAGACTGACTGAGGAGGCAGACTCGATGACTTACTGAGTATAAAGTATTGCCTCTCAGCTTGTTCATCATGTGGGGATGGTTTGAATAAACCCTACTTCCTGCTTTTGATAGCAACAAGTAACCTCTGACGGCCTGCAGGACTCTGTTGTCACAACTCTTACCCTGGGTCAAGCTCACTTACGGGCGTAGAAGGCTGTCAGTGACAGGCAGAGTGTGAGGCCCAGGGAGTGGAAATGCTTCCAGAAAGGGGACCCAATTATTTACATGTCCATTCCCCCCAGACACTGTCAATAATGTGGAAACTGGGGAGGACCCAAGATCTGGATCTGTGCTTCTGTAAAGAGGCTTTGTTTGAATCATATGAGGGGTAGGCTCAGCAGGTTTGAAAGATAAAGTACATTCAGTTTTCTAGAAGAGTTCCAAGTGGCTAAGGTGCTCTGTGGAGGAGTTGGCCAGGGATGGACCATCACAGAGGGCAGGCTTATAGACTAGGGCCTAAGCTCGGGCTGGGGAAGCTGGGGAAAGTGGAGTGGGGCCGCTCCAGGGAAACTGGCAGAAAATGGCTCTCTGTGGGAGGAGGCAGACCAGGCCATTTTGGACACAAGAGTCCAGAAGCAGCTCTGACTGGGACTGAGGGAAGGAGACTGTGGGGAGCGGGACACAAAGGACACCAGTGACGCTGGGTCAGTGAGCCACGCAGGTGTCTTCTGGCCAGCACTCATGCAAGGGAAATGGGATCCTGGGGTCTGAGATGTCAAGCCAAAAAATGAAAGAGTTGGAATGGGCAGGAAGCAAGAGGCCAGGGAGAGGTCAGGAGGTTTATCATATCTGCCTGGGAACAACAGACAAGCTCGAGTCCAAAGGTCTGGGATTCTTGGATTTGCCACTTCTAAGCCCTTCAGAGGACCCTGGCCTGGCCAGAAAGGGCCTTCTGACACGATTTGGCTCCTGACAGCTTTTCTCTCCTGCCTCACATGCTCTCCGTTAATATTAACTGCAGCAATGCCAAAGACTTCTAGCTCTTAGATCACGTCCTGCTACTTCATGCCTAGCTTACATTGTTCTCTCTTCCCAGAAACATGCCTCTATCACATTGCCTGCCTGGAGAACTCTTCTTCAGACCCAAGCTATGATGTCACCTACTCTGATCCGCCTACAGCCTTAGAATATTACCACTGCACTTCATACGCTGCATGACAACGATCAGACATGGTGGTCATTCACCTCATGTTGGCAGACAATAGGCCTGCACTGCTTGTCCCATAAGTAAATGAAACGATGTATCCTAAGATGGGCCCAGTTCACCTTTCTGTGGCCAGGCTGCTGACAGAGTGAAGCAGTCCCCTGCTTGCTGTGGGTCTACAGTCTTAGTGGAACCACCTCACTGAGGCAGAGGACTGTGAACCATAGAGAGTCCCGATCCTTCGGCACTGGAACCAGCCCTGCGGGGACCGCACACCTTCCATGCATCTCCATGGCACCTCAGCTGGCACTGAAGCCAGGTCCTACAAAGTGAGGGATGTGCCAGGCCAAGAGACACCCCCAGCAACACCAACCACACATCCTGTTCCAGCATCCAGGGTGTTGGCCCTTCAGAGGATGACCTGAGGAGAGAGAGCGGATCGCTGCCTGGCTCTAGGATGGAGACCCTGAACCTGGGACAAGGTGGGTGGGGGTGTAATGGGCGCCAAGGGATTCAGGAATTGTGGAGTGGATGGCCACTTTTCTGGGGAGACAGTTCACAGCTTTCGTCGGTTTTGCCAAGAGGCCCATGACTATGAAATATGAAGACCCATCATTGTGGAAATGTGCCCGAGTTCCTCATGGCAGCTCTGCTCAGAGAACCAGCTGCTGACTGCAGATCACAGAGACCTTGTCACGGTCAAGGCAGATCACGGAAAGGACTCGGGTTCCCCCACAGTGAGGCATGTACAAGCTCCCGCACCACCCTGAGAAAAGCCTTTCTGAAGACGAATGTTGTGCGTAATTTAAAGAAGTTCCATGGTCTGTGTTTGGGTCAAGATCAAATGCAGCCAGTCAGAGGGAGTTAGTTTTAGGACCTCTATGTTGACCTTCCTTAAAACAAGTCTTCCAAAAAAAAAAAAAAAAGAAAAGGCAAATCCCCAGGGTCTCATTCCTGACGGAGAGTCATGTTTGACCTTGTTCTATCTGGGCTCAGGAAACACGAATAAACAGACAAATCTGGTGCTATGGCTCTTTTACATTTGACTCCCTTCCCCTTTTTTTTTCTGGCACAGGAGCCTGTGTTTTTAAAAGAAAAAAAAAATGCTTTCCATATTAAAGAGGCCAGAAGCACACACACACAAAGAGAAAGCAAATCTAAAACTGGAGTGGCTTGTACTAAACTCTGGGGAATTCAGAGTCACTTTTCACCCACATCCTGTAAGGGCAGAAAAAGCACAGGAAAAGGTTTCTACTAAAATGTGTGCATGTTTTTGTTTTTTTTTCTTTTTTAAAGAAAAACATGAATCATTCATATCCACCCAGATATCTTGAATAGCACAGCTGGACATTTTTTTTGTTTGCTTAGTTCCCACTGTTCTTCCCCTGACTTCTGAAAAGATAATTTTTTAAAAAAATCCTTAGAGTGAACCTTTACGTTTCAATTGTTAAGAGCACATACTTTGTACCCAAACAGGTGTGGGCTCTGCCACTGACTTGCTAAGTAATGCTGGGCAGGTTTCTTAACCTCTTTAAGAGCCTAATTATCCCACCAATTAAAATGGGAATATGAACAGTATGGACGTCAAATGGATGCTGAAATGTATGTTAAAAAAAATCGTAGGCTAGCGTGGCTCACTAAGCATTAAGAATAGGAGCTGTGCAGGCGCCTGGGTGGCTCAGTTGTTAAGTGTCTGCCTTTTGCTCAGATCATGATCCCAGGGTCCTGGGATCGAGTCCCGCATTGGGCTCCTTGCTCAGCGGGGAGCCTGCTTCTCCCTCTGCCTGCCCCTCCCCCTGCTTGTGCTCTGACAAATCTTAAAAAAAAAAAAAAAAAGACTAGGAGCTATGGAGTAACATCTCTATCAATGCAACAACCCCTCCTCAATGACACCTTAGTGCATTCTCCTGCACATCATAACACGTAGAAAGAAAAGACCCATAAATAGTAGGACTGTGTTTCTCAGCAAGGATTTGTCCCCCTTCCCTCTGCATAATGCCGGTCATCTGTCCAGGCCCACACAAGATCCAGAAAGCCAGTCTGGAAGAGACAGCTCATACTTCCCAGGAACCAGGCGCTGTGAGTCCTATCTGCCCTGGCCAGGTCGGAGCCCAACGTCTGCCTGCCTTCACCGTGCCCAACTTAGCTGGGAATCTAGATGGTTCTCCCACGTGCACCTGGGCCACAAAACACTACTTCTGAGAATTTGCTCATCAAACGATCATCATTCTTCAGAAGCCATCAAGCTCCACTTTCCTGTTTTTCTCCAAGGGAAGTTTTACCCACCTTCTGTAAATTCACCATGTCGGAAACATCTCTCCCAGGTTCTGAGTCTTATTATTTGGTTGCTAAGAATTGCAGGCTGGGGGACTCTAACGTCCTCCTTCCTTCTGACAATCACTGTGGCTAAGTTTGCATATTATGGTCTTTGCTCTAACTGTTGGGACTCATTCCTGATCGCCCAAAATAATTTCAGCAAATATACCGCTTGCCTCAAGCTTCTGCCTCCACACTGAGTATTCAGGGATCTGCTTATCAATTCTCTAGAATTCTCTCCCCGGGTGGAATCTTACTTCTGTCAAGGTTTGTATATGGCTTTTCTGGGTAATTGGTGCATTACACCTAATTTCTTTTCCCTCCAGGGGAGGATGAAAAGGAAAAAAAAATCCTTTTTCATTTTACCAAAGAAAGCAGGCTTAAGCTTTTTTTAGTAAAATCCATGGATACTCCAGACAATTCCCTTATCATCTACCAATTCCCTCAATATCAAGGAAGCACGGATGGGCACTGGGACTGCAAACGACGGGACTCCACGCGTCCACTCCGGACATTCATTACCAAGGTTACAAGACCACAGACGCCTGTCCAAAGGCAATCACAGCAATGACACGTCCTTACCCGGCAGTCTCTCTGAAGTGTCTTCATGAGCGCGTTGTACGTTTCTGTGTCAAAATATAACCCTTCGTGCATGTCTTGCAGGAAATCTAAGTCCTTAAACGTGGGGTTGGACTTCTCTCTCTCCTTTCGGGAGGCTCTTCGCTTGTAAGTGGAGCCTTTCAGGTCATATGTGAAGTGCATTCGCATGGAGCGCGGTAAGACGTTGTTCATTACCACAATCCTGATATTAATGCCCCCTGACTGCATGCAATACAGTCCATAAAATTTTGGCAAAAGAGTCCTTGGATTCTGGTTTAAATTCTAAAAGGAGAAAAAGGAAAAAAAAATGTGTCAATTCTCCTATTTTCACAAAAGAAGATTTTGTTAAATACATGTTTTCATCTATGAAATATGAGAATTAAAATTGGGAGTGCGATTCTCTTTATTTATGGCCATTACTAAAATAAAGCTCTTTCTGATTTGATTCTTAAAGTTGGCTCAATGGGACAGTACCTTTATCATTCTCAACCTACAGCATTAAAAGTGGCTGAACTGAATGGACACAGAGTCCCAAATGAGATTCAACCAAAAACAGGCAAAGAATTTATTAGTGCCATGTGTGACTAAGATCTAAGGGAGCTAAAAAGGAAATTAACAGCTGGGGTCTAAGCAATGAGCATTTAAAATTTTAATAGCTCCTGAAAAAATTATCTTCCAAAATGGGTAGACTGATTTACAATCACACTTTGTAAGATTATGTATTTCTCGTCACTCTTCATCCATGATGAGCAGCAACAAGCTTTAAAATTTCTGTAAGTGTGACTGGTTAAAAAAAAGGAAACTCTTTTTAAAAAATTGGAATACCGCTGATTATTAGAGAAATGTAGTATGTTGTATGTATTTTTAGCCATTTCGAAGACAATTCTGTGTTAATAGTCTTTGCCTGTTTTTCTGTAGGTTTTTGTTATTTTTGGAGTTCTCAATACACTCTGGATATTTGTCATTTTCCTATTCTCTATGGGGTAAATATTCTCCTCCAGTATGTTATTTTTTTTATACAAATAAAAATACATGCCTATTTTTGTTTCACTTTAAAAGTAGGTGAGAAATTAAGAACAGTTTGTTGGAGGGCATTTACATCAGGAGAAGTTTCTCTACTATCCCGATTCTTCTCCCAATTCCCAACTTTTAACTACTCTCCCCACTTTCTCCATTCTAGAAATATTCTATGTGCTTACATTAATTTTGTATCTGGTATTTTTTGTTGTTGTTGTACCGATGTATTGCCTTTTGATGTGGTCACATTTACGTACTTCTTTCTTGTGTTTTCTTTTTGCTTCCTGTTTAGTGAAGCTTTTTATACCCCAAGGCCCTAAATTTCTTCTCTTCCAAACTTTTCGTAGTTTTGGTCATGACATTTGGTTTTTACTCCATATGGAATGATTTTGTGTGTGTGTGAAAGATGTGAAATACGGAATTGTTTGAATTCACTGATCTATTTGTCTAGCACTGTACTAATTCTTTAATATATTAATATCTTAATATTAGTAAAAGTTTATGGGTTTTTGGTATATGTCATAGCAGGTTCACTATTTTAATTATCAAAAATGTTTGTCTACTCTTACAACCCCTCCCTTCCACTGTTTGTTTTTTTAAATGCTCTTAAAATGATACTTGTTTTCACTTTCTTTTTGTTTGTTGTCACTTTCAAATGAACCAGCTCAGGGAAAAATCTTACAGGCATTTTTTTTTTTTTAATTATTAAACACAGACTTAGTTCACTTTATTTTTCTTGTACAAAGTATGTGGTGGCCACAGCGGGAGCCTGGGTCCCCTGCACGGAGACTCTGGTATGTGGGTCGTTATAAGATGGTCAGTGAATTCCTTTTTTTTTTTTTCTTTTAAGATTTTATTTATTCATTTGAGAGAGACAGGCAGAAAGAGCACAAGCCAGGGGGAGAGGCAAAGGGAGAGGCAGACTCCCCACTGAGCCAGGAGCCCAATGTGGGGCTCCATCCCAGGACCTGGAGATCATGACCTGAGCTGAAAGCAGACACCTGACCATCTGAGCCTGCCAGGCGCCCTGGTCAGTGAATTCCTGATATGGAGATTCAGTGAATGCAGTCTGTTTCCAGAGTTGGGGTGAGCTAGCTGTAAGTCTTGGGAATGGTGACGGAAGTGGCCTCGGTGAAGTAGCCCAGGGTGGCAGTGCAGTCCCTGGCTGAGAGGGGGCAGTCGTCTCTACCGACCCCCGCCAGTAGCTTCTCTGGCACAGGGGCCGAGGCAAGGCCAGTGCCCCTGGGGTCAGGGGTGAGGCACCCCAGCACAGAGCCACAGCGGCTGGTCACCTTGCATGGGACAGTGGGGGGCTTGTCGATCTTGTTCCCCAAGTAGCCTCGTCACACTGGTAGATGGAAAGCTTGTCTGGAATCATGGCCCCATGGATGGCAGTGGCGACCTCTTTGGATCACTTAACACCCAGACCACCGTGTCCACAGTCATCTCCGATGGCAACAGATACCTTGAACCTGGTCCACTGGCCAGCACAGATCTGCTTTTTGCACCAGCATAGTCTTCAAAACCTCATCCTTGAGGGATGCCCCCAGGAAAAGTCAATGATCTCAGATTCCTGGATGGGCAGGGAGAAGAAACAGATCTCCTCCAGGGACTTGATCTTCATGTCCTTGACCAGGCGGCTCAGCTTGGTGACAGGCATCCATTCCTTGTCTTTGGCCTACAGAGAAGCCACTATGGTCTCGCATTCCATCACCCCTGGGACCCCCAGGCCCACCCACAACCTCGGTGCCATCTGACCCTTGGTATCTTCTCGGAGAAGCAGCCCTACTGACATTCTTGATTGGAATTAGATTGGATTTATAACATGATTTGGGAGAACTGAAATCTTTACAATACTGAGTTCAGGAATGAAATGTGTCTCATTATGTTGGAAATTTTTTTACGTCCTTCCATAACAATTTGTAGTTTCCTTCATATTGTTCTTAGATATTTGTTTTTTACAGACTCAAGCATTTTAGAGTTCCTATTACAAAAATTCTTTTGGGGTTATTGCTCACACATTATAATACTTACTATAATTTGCTTTCCCTACCAGAATGATAGTCTGCCTTCATTCATTTGTATCTTTCTTCTTTTTTTTTTTTTTTTTAAAGATTTTATTTACTTATTTGACAGAGAGAGACACAGCAAGAGAGGGAACACAAGCAGGGGGAGTGGGAGAGGGAGAAGCAGGCTTCCCGCGGAGCAGGGAGCCCGATGCGGGGCTCGATCCCAGGACCCTGGGATCATGACCTGAGCCGAAGGCAGACGCTTAATGACTGAACCACCCAGGCGCCCCTGTATCTTTATTCTAATAACATTCACTGTAAGTTATTGTCCTCATAAACGGGATCTCATTTTCTCCCTTCTATCCTCCTACCCTAGATGATCTACATAATGGAATACAATGGATTGTGTAGATGCATCTTACATCCTGCAGATCTGCTGGACTCTCATTACCTCCAGAAACTGCTAGTTAATTTTCTTGACGTTTTGCTCATTTTTAATTGTATCGTTTACAAGAGAAGAGTGTTTATACTTTTCTATTCCTTTTCATACTCAGAAAGTTATTATTGCTAGAAATTCTTGCAAATATATATCTTGCAAACAATGATGGAGGGGAATCCTTATCTTTTTCCATTATTTCCAATTAAAGGGCTCTTGTTCTTCTCCATGAGGTACTAAATAAATCTTGGAGACTGATAAATGCATAATATGTGTGTTAACTTATTTGTTTACGTTAAAACTTCCCTGCCAATTTAAAGAATTTTAAGCAGGAGAAGATGTTGACTTTTGAATGCCTTTGTTTCTATTCAACATTTATTTGGATTACCACATGATGTTCACATTTTTTCTTGTTAACTGGATGAATTACACTATTTGTTATACTAGCTTACATGATTGGGGTAAACCACCTGTTCAGCTAAATTTTACCATTTAACTTTAATTAATTGCAAATTAGTAGCTGCATATGGCTAATGACTACCCTATTGGACAATGCAGTTCTAGAAAAAGAGACTAGTCTACCTAAGCTTAAAACTATACACGTTTAAGATTTACTCACTTAGTGGGTTAGTAAAGTGCAATGACCATTTGATCCCAATTTCACATTATTTAAAAAATGTGTGTATGAATGGAATACATCAGGAAGGACATACACCGAATATTAGCAGTATGTATCTCTGGGCAAAAAATGAGTCGGCTGCATTTTTCTTGCTTTGTGGATCTTCTGTTTTCTCTAATATAAAGTAGACAATACGCTCTAAAAAAAATTTCCCAGTTTTGTTCAGGATCAAACCTTGTAAAATCCGTCCATCCTGTCCACTGAGATTTTTACTTCGATTTTGATCCCTATATTTATACGTGTGACTAATCTCCAGCAGATTTGGGCATTAAATACTATTTTTACAGCTGTGTTTCACATATAGCTTAGTGCTCAATGAATGCTAAGCATTCACATTATGACTCTGTACTGGGAGCCAAGAGCCTGGCAAGGCACTGCTTTCTTTATCCTACACCCAGTCGTCTTTCTTGATCACAACAACCATCTAAGACAGGTATTTTGCAGCTTTTAAAGACTGAGGAGACTGCAGCTCAGAGCTTATATTGCTTACTCACGGTCATACCGTTCGCTGCTGGCTGAGCTGGGATTTGAACCCAGAACTGTGGGAGTCAACTATCCTCTACTAACAGTTCTACTTGGTAAAATCGAGTCCACAACAGTCGCAGTACAATCCAAATGCAAAACAAAGCTCACCCAAGAGAAAGAAACATGCCACAGGGTGACGGTAAAAAAGCAGAGGGGAAAAAAAAAACTTGTGGAAAGTAATTAAATCTCAGGTAGGAGTTTTAATTACAGATGGTTACTTACCATGTAATAGCCTGGCAGCAGCTTCTGAAGGAATTCAGCTTCCTTATGCTGAACGGTTTTGATGATAAATTCATCATCACTGGTCACAAAAAACAAGGATCCACTGGCTCCGGGGTTGGACAGCTCTATTAGAGGTTCACTGCAGATGGAATACTACAAGAGTAAATAAATAAACAGTTAAAAATACACCACTAGGTATTTATCCAAAGGATACATAGTGATTTAAAGGGGCACCTGCACCCCAATGTTTATAGCAGCAATGTCTACAACAGTCAAACTATGGAAAGAGCCTAGATGTCCATCAACAGATGAATGGATAAAGAAGATGTGGCATATATATACAATGGAGTATTACTCAACCATCAAAAAGAAGGAAATCTTACCATTGCAACATGGATGTGGATGGAACTAGAGGGTATTATGCCAAGTCAAGCAGAGAAAGACAATTATCATTATGATTTCACTCATATGTGGAATTTAAGAAACAAAACAGAAGAACATAGGGGAAGGGAAGGAAAAATAAAATAAGCTGAAAACAGAGAGGGAGGCAAACCATAAGAGACTCTTAACTCTAGGAAACAAACTGAGGGTTGCTGGAGGGGGACAGGGTAACTAGGTGATGGGCATTGAGGAAGGCACGTGATGGAATGAGCACTGGCTATTATACAAGACTGCTGAATCACTAAATTATACCTCTGAAACTAATAATACACTGTATGTTAATTCAATTGAATTTTAAATAAAAAAATTTTTTTTAAATTAAAAAAATACATTCATTGTACACAAAGTTTCCAAGGAGGAAAATTACAGATTACACATCTAGACCATTCTGAAACAGGAAGTTCTCTGCCATGAGCTTTCAAAGGAGGTTCCATGTATATATGAAGAGGGCCCTTTGAGATTTCTAAAAATTTAATTGATCCATTTATCCTAATAATTCTATGAGAAACAGAAATGCTTTCCACACCCCCCCCACACACAGCATGACATGACAGAATCATCAATCATCACATCTGTCCAATAAAATAATGCAAACAGTGCTGTGGTCTATGGAGCTCTGTTTCCAGAAAGTGTCCATAACAACTGAAGATATGACTCACACTGTGTATTTGTCACGTGAACACCAACACCTATTCTCTTCTCACTACTTTCCCAAAAGATGTCATCCATGCATGGTTTCCATAAGGAGATGACTATTAACAGCTGGAGTAGCTCCAGCCCAGATCCCTGTCAAAGGATCCAGACCTGTACGCCGAACTTTTTAAGAGATACTTCTATCTGGTTATATTACAAGCACTTCATGTGTACCAAGTTCAAAATCAAATTCCTCTCTGGGCTATGGTTAGCCCATATGACGCTTTTGTAGTACCTAGAAAGAGATGTCTCTTTCTTCCGACAGATGTAGCTCTGGGTCAGATACAAGGCTGATGAGGAGAAGGGCTGAATTCCTGTCTCTACTCTTGCAGCTTAGCTAGGTATTCTTGGGCAGTGCACACCCTGCACAACCATACATGGTGACTCTAGATCACCTGCCCCCTCCCCCAATTTCTATCTTCTCCCTCTTACTCATTTTGTTCCCAAACCAGAAACTCGGGCATCATCCTTGATGCCTTCCATTTCCTCACCTTTCATATCCAGACTATTGATTGTATCTGCCCCCTTCATGCCCTCTCTTTTGCTTATACCCTAAGTTCAGTGGTTTCACGTTATACCTTCATTACTATGGGAGACTCCACCTTGCCTCGACTATCCACTCTTGACTTCTCTCATGCATTTTCCACCAGGAAATCGGAGATCTTTCTAAAATGCTAATCTGATCACATCCTCCCAGGCCTTCACAATTTTCAGTGTTTTCTGCTGTCTGGTTAGAAGGTAACACCCAGATTTCCTACTAGCGCTGTCAAGGCCATGAGTGGCCCAGCCCTGCTCTCCAGCCTTCTCCTTTATCACTTCCCTCCTTAAAATCTAGCTCTAGTCACTGACAGCTACTTCCCCTTTTCTCAAATGTGCCACAGACTCTCAACGACTGGGATTCTGCCTCTTCCTCTACCCAAACCCACCTCTCTTCTGCCCTCACCAGGCTGGCTACTCCTCATTCGTGTGCTCATTTAACATTGAGAAAACGTCTACTGAGCATCTGTAATGGCCCAGGTGCACATGAAGCTTGGACCCTAGCAGGAGAAAACAGGCAGGAGACAAGTACAGAAACTGTACATCGGAACATGAGAAGTGCTATGGAGAAGATGGGGCACAGAAAGCGGATGGAGGGCCAGCAGGGACTGACAGCTGATTTGCCATGAATTTTAAATAGTGCTGGACACTGGAAGCCTCTCTGGGAAGGGGGTATTTGAGCAGAGGCCTGTGGCTGTCTGGGGGAAGGGTGCGTCAGGGGGAGGGGAGGGCAAATGCAAAGGGCTTCAGACCTGGGGAGTTCAAGGCACAGCCAGGAGGCCGGTGGCTGGGGCAGAGAGAGTCAGGAGAGCTGAAAGAATGAAGCCAGAAGAGCAGGTGAGCCAGACCACATGGGGCAGCAGACGGTTGACTTTTTCTCTGGGGGAGCTGAAAGCCAGAGGAAGGTCTGGAGCAGAGGACCACTCCGGTCTACTGTGCCGAGAAGCCACGGTTAGGGGACAAAAGGAAGAGGCACGGGGCACAGCGAGGAAAGTGTTATGTGACTTTGGCTTTCAGCGTTTGCTGGACGGAACTTAATCTGGAAAATTCTTCCCGGTCCCGTGAGTCTAGATCATCTGCTTCCTGGCACGGGATGTTCTCATCACGGAAGTTACCACAAAATACCGCAAATGCCTGTTTCTTATTCCGAGCCCCCAGCAGACCGTAGAACTCTATGACGGTATCAACCACTCGGCTCATAGGCGGTGATACGGTGCAGGATCTGTGCCTTGCACGCGGCAGGCACTAAATAAATTTCTGTCGAACAAATGGCTGAACGCCACCAACAAGTGAAGGGCTATAAATCTCACCAGAAATGCAAAACAAAACAAAACAAAACAAAACAAAACAAAAACTAACCACACAAAACAAAAAACCCTCAGCAGGGAAGTCAAATTTGGGGTTATGGTGCTCGGTGTTTACCAACTAACAATCCCCACTACTGACCAGAGAAACACTGAGAGCAGAGGAAAAGGTCAGGACCCAGTGTGTGAGATCAGACCAGCCCCAGAGGATTTAGTGAATTGTGTCCTGAAGATGGAAACATCCAGAACACGGCCCAACGCTTTTGTAGCTGGGCTTCTGAAGAGTTAAGTCCCCATCACAGAGAAATCTGAAAGGAGGGGAGTAGGAGGTAGGGGGAGGAAGAAGAAGGGAGAAAGAAACTGGGAGAAAAACAATTAAAAGGCAGTTTCTAGACGCCGACTTTAAATTATCTTGCTTTGGCAGCACATGGATAAGGGAAACAAAATTCTCTAAGAAAAGAAAGAAGCGTGTGTCGCCTTGCTGAAAGCCATGGCAACTTCCGTTTTCCACTTCTCCTTCCTCCAGGCTTGCTTCCTGATGCTTTCGTGCTGAGCAGTGTGCCATTATGGGTGACTTAGAGCTTAGGAAGGGAAACAACAACAGCCCGAAGACTGCACAGAATGCCGTAAAAGCCCCGCGGTAGCAGACGGTGCTTTCCTTGCTGTGGGTGCAGGATCCGTGTGGAAAGCTCATCTCAGTGGGATGGGCATGGGACCTGGAATAACCTTTTCTTTTTTTTTTTTTAAAGATTTATTTGAGAGAGAGGGAGAGCATGAGTGGGGGAGGGGTAGAGGGAGAGAGAGAAACTCAAGCAGACTCCGTGCTGAGCGCAGAGCCCGATGTGGGGCTCGATCCCAGGACCCTGACATCATGACCTGAGCCAAAATCAAGAGTCAGACACTTAACCCACTGCACCACCCAGGCGCCCCTGGAACCACCTTTTAAAAATCATGCTTCTATCAGTGGCTGCTTATGTGATCTGGAGTAAGACCCTTGGCATCCCAGGTCGAAGGAACCTTCATCTCTAAAACAAAGCTAATAGTATCTCCATGAAAGCAGCTGGAAGTTTTTAAAGTGGATGCTTTCAAAACCCCTGGCAAAAGGGACCACTTGGTTATTGCTGTTCATAGTTCTTACTGCATGACCGTACATAGGGGAACAGGGCGGACACCTTGCAGGTGCAAAAAAGCTGGCCGTGCCTCAGCATGCACAGAGGGTTTCAGCCCAACGCCAACGACCACAGGGCTACCCAAAGATACACTACGACATTCCGAGTGAGTCACAAAGAACGGTGCCTCTTTCGCGTAATCACGAATTTGAGACACCGGAGAACAAAGGTGTCGACCCTAAGCTCTTACAAAGAGTGAGGGCAGACTCCGCACTCTCTTTAGGAATTCTGATTCTTTGTTTTGTGGGTTTTGAATTCCTGGCACAGAAACTTCTTACGGATAGGAGTCGACGTTGTGGAAGGCCAACGACAACACAGAACGCAGAAATTAGAGGCTGCAAATAGAGAAATTAGGGGGTGATTCAGGAAGAGCTGTCTAGAGAAAACTGGATTCAGACCTGCACATCTGTTTCCAATTAAAGTCTCAAATTCTTCTATAAGCACTGACATTATATGGGAAGTATTTCATGGGTTACTTGTCAAACAGTCCTATATTAGGTAATTCTTAAGTTAATATGCATGGAAAAAGAAATTGTTTTGACACTTCTTAACAACCTGGCGGGGGGTCACACCCCCAGAGCATCAGTGTGCGGCCCATTGGCATGACGATGCCGACCGGGAACCTCACGGTTAGCACCTGTAAGTCTGCGGTTTCTCACCCTAGAACTTGGTTACCATGGTCCATGTGAGCAACCTTCTCTGCAGTGTGGCCGTGGACGAGCAAATAAAGAGGAGAGGTGGGAACATTTTAATTAGCCTTGATCCACAAGGTCCCACGTGGACGCCTGCGTTTTCTGCACTTTCCTGCAGGTCCTTTCTTTTGTGCGAGCTGTTCCAATGCATCCATTCTCTCCCTTCGATCTCCTGCAGGGCCGCCTGATGATCCCCACTGGAAAGGCCACAAAGTACAACCCAGCTGGGTCCAGCCAAGGCAAATTAACAATGTAAACTTGCTCAGCGTGGTGGAGATCATTCTTCCTGCCATTTCTTCCCCCCTGACAGTGTTAAATATTCACCCCACTCTCTATTGGTGTCGGTGAGTCTGGAAGGACATCATGTAAATCACCACTCTGGATTCTGGAACACTCGGGCACCTGGGGGAGAAGGAAATCAAGCCAAAGGCTTGCTGCCCAAGCAGAGATGGGGGAAAGTGCTCTGGGGGCCCTTGGCCTTCCCTTGGGAGGCGTTTATTTTGGAACAAATAAGGAAGGAGGTGCAGTCTTGCTGCCATGCACACACAAGCACTTGGGTGTGCGGTCTCACAATCCACATTATGCATGTTCATAATGCATACCTGTCATCGGGAGGCACGTGGTGAACCTTCATGGTACTGAGAACGTAAACAGAATGATTCAGGCTCTAATCCAGATGCAAGAGCACAAGACTAAGTAGAAATGCATGCGTATCATGGAGATCCAATATTAAACCTATCTGGAGAGTTGCCAGTCACCATATAACATTACCTTCTCCCCCCTTTTAGATCAGATCTTCACAGATTGGGGTTTGACGAGCCTGTTTAGCAGATGCTAGTATGTACTTCGTGCTTTGGACGGTACTTTTTTTTCCTTCACACAGGTTTTTAAGGGAGGTCTTATTTGATTCTCCTGCGCTTTATTTGGGATTAACCCTTCCAAAAAATGCTTTGTTGGAGGTGTTTTGACTCCTTTGGCTAGATGCTTCAGAATGGATACCTCACAGTTTGATGGCTGAGGGAGTGTTAGGGTGAGATCATATTTAACGAGAGGAATGAGACTCCGTGGGCTGGGAGGACAGCTGGTAAATGGAAAAGCACATGGGGGGACAGTTGGGGGATCCCTGTTCTGGTCTGTGCCCACCAACGTGGGTAACCTTGGGCACCTCTCCGCCCCTGGCTTTAGACCGCTCATCCACAATGAAGGGTTGGGCTGAAAAGTCTGAGGGTTTACCTAATTCTGGGAAGCATGTCATATCAGGTAAAAAAAACCCCTTCCTCGTCTACCACACTTCAGATCACTGGCTGGAGTTTTCAGATGGAGTGGTTTGGAGGTGAACTTCTAGTTCTGGGCTGGAGGTGTCCCCAGTGGGTGTCTCAGTGCAGGGTAGGTAGGTGGCCATAACCATTAGGGACTAGGTAGCCATGTTCAGCTAGAGGGCCTTTGTTTTTTGCAGGTCCCAGAGATGGGTCCAGTTACAGGGAGGTGGAAAAATGGAATCAAACAAAAGCACTCTGACCTGCCTGTTCCTGTCTTTTTCTCCCCCTGCCCTCCAAGTTTTCATTATGAAAAATTTCAAACCTACATAAAAGTAAAGAGAATTATGTAATTGACATCCATATGTCTCTCTTCCAGCTTCCACAATGATGAACTCCCAGCCAATCTTGTTTCTACTATAACCCCATCACTCCTCTGCCTGCCTCCCTCAAGATTCGTTCCAAGCAAATCCCAGACATCCCATCATTTCACCCATACTTTAGTGTGTGTCTCAAAAAGCCCAAGACTCCTCTTTTAAAACAGAACCATAATACCATCATCCCACCAAAAACCTAATTCTTCAACATCATCAAATATATAGTCGCTCTTTAAATTTCACCAGTCTCCTATAATTAAAAAAACCCCTGTTTATTTGCATAATCTGGCCCTGTCTTTCTAACTTCATGATCCAAACCTTCCACTCCTGCCATCTTGGTCCATCCCAAGTGCTTCTAAATAGGTAATGCATTTGCGTCTCTGGTCTACCGTCCTAACACCACCTCCCCTCCCCTGAATATGCTTCCCTTCTTTTCCACCTACTCAAATCCCTTCTAATTTTCACATCATAGCTAAACCATTTCACACCTATAAGAAGCCCTCCTCATCCTTGGGGTAACGGAGACACCCCCCCCCCGCCCCCTCCTCTGAAATCCTTGGATATTTACTGTTGCACTGCAGTCTACTTACTGCCTGGTAGAGTTGGGGATTCTCCCATACAAACAAATCATCTTTCCAGTTGTATTCTAAGTTCTCTGAGTATCATGACTTGTAATTTTTGAATCTCCCTATAATTAGTAGCCAAGTATTTTCATTACAACAAGTGTTCAAAGTACCTGATCAATTAATTTACCTTTTGCCAGCTACATGAAGAAAGACTTTTGCTCTGAGAAGCCATCAGTTTAGTCTCCTGTGCTTTGTAAATACTCTATAACCTCATGACAAAGGTAACTTTGCCAGTTCAAAGGCTCGTTAGGAAACTGTGTAAGCCATGTGTGTTGTTGATCAGGAAAAGGCCTTCCCCCAAGAAAGCCATTTTGTGAGCCAGAATGATGCAAGAATGGGCTTCCCAGCCTGCAGCTCAATGACCACAGGAAGGCGAAGGGTGAAGGATAGACAGGCAGACATGTCAGGGAATGACTGGATCCATGCTATGAAGCACACGTATATGGCATCTCCTTGGCTAGCAGAAGCTCAAGGAAATTTCAGAAGGAGAATCCACTGACTTCCAATGCATGGCAGGAGAGGAGAGTCAATCTTGTTTTCCATAAGACAGTATCAAGACCCCACTGAGTTCCCCAAACATGCTTCCTGAATGACAGTGACGCTCAATAATTATAGAAAGGTCAGAAACCAAAGAATCTTCTCTAGTACATATCCACACACACCCACGTCCACTGCCCCGGATGTGTGGCTTTGTGCCCTGGCGTAGCTGGTGAGGGCAGGTTGGTAGTGCTGGGTAGAGACTCCTGACATCTCAGTGAGAGGGGCGTGATAAGGCAGACAGCTACTTGGAGGAACACATTTAAGGACAGCAGGACGCCCAGGGACTTTCCACTCAGTTGGTACTGCTGTGAAGACTTGTTAATGTGCCTCGAGGAGCCGGTATTACCTCATAGGGCAGAAGTCATAGGATTTTCTCAGGGTCCAACTAAAGAAGAGGGTTGTGCCAGAGGGCAGGGGGTGGGGGGATTGGAGAAATAGATGATGGGGATTAAGGAGTGCACCTGTTGTGATGAGCACCGGGTAATGTCTGAAACTGATTCACTATATTGTACATCTGAAACTCATATAACACTGTATGTTAACTGGAGTTAAAAAAAACTTAAAAAAAAAAAGAGGGTCGTGCATGTGCGGAATAGAATCAGCTTTGAATTTTATCAAGTACATCTTACCCGAATTCTAAAATGCAGTTTAAATACTCTTTGTTCCAAGGGATAAATGTTGCTATACTTCCTCTGCAAAGCTTTATTCCAGGATCTGGCTCAAGTCTTATTAAGATTATTCAGAATGGGGTGAACAATAAATATTAGATGGCATCCTTCCTACGGCTTCTTGAAAACCAATTCTGAAGAGCCCCAGGGTGTTAACAGTGATCAAATTATGAAATAAACCATTTTCCTCTTGAAACAAAAAGGAAGTTCCTGGCTCCCTGAACAGGAATAAGGTAACCATCTGAGGTCACATCAGACCACCTCACAAAAAGGCCGTTGTGTTCATACCTGCTGAGTGCCAAAAGACAAGCCTGAGGATAATATATGCCCTTGTACCAAATAAAAACATGTTTAGAAAGAGCCTGCATCAAGAAATGTTGAGAACAAAACTACCTAGCATCTTTGAAATGGTATTCAAGTTGTAGGTCAAGGTGAAAATGGTTTCGGGCCAAGGCAGGTTTGAGACTAATGGTATAAATCAGGCAAATAAAATAAGAAGGCTTTCAAAGAGAATCCAATCAGCAAAATTCACAGGAGTATTTAGAGCTAATTATAATATATCTGTAGCAACCAATCCTACAATTATTTAAATATCAATTACCACAGCAGATTTTGTAGCTATTAGTAAATGCGGCAGAGTCAAATCACATTTCCTGAAGCTAAATTTATCATCATTATGAAACTTGGACCTTTGACTACGCTCCAGAGCTTTATAAAACAAGAGACACAAGCCACTTGTCACTGTTGCTATGAGACAAATGTTTATATCACACGTTTCTGGAGAAGGAAGGAAAATTACAGGTTCTTACCAAGTAATCATCAGGCTTGATACCAAAAAGTTCTCTGAAATATCGGAATGCTAGTGGAGCATAGGTCTTAAATCTGAAGTCTGGGTAATGATGTGCTGGGGTCAGATTGCTCCCTTCGCTGCAGTTAAAAAAAAAAAAAAAAAAAGGTGAGAGAGAGAAAAAGCATTAGCAAAGACAATTTTGACTTCAAATACTAGCTCTACTGGTCCTGGGCCAGTTTCCCTGCTAGAAAAACATACCCCGATTGTGGGTCCCTCTAAACTCATGTCACAAAGGGCAATGGCCATCAGGTAAAACCAGATGCTAACTCAGTGGAGGCCACGCCAAGCAGCCGTTCCCTACCAATCACAGTGTGTCTTTAGCGTGAAAACTCTTCATCATCCCCCTGCGCCTGTGATTTTTCCATCTTCCCCAGTGAAACCACAATCGAATTGCTTTAGGTATAAGATCCAGGCCTTAGTACATGGAACAATTTGAAAAATGCATTTTTTTTTTGTTTGGCCATGAATATTGGATACACATTTTAAACTAGGAGTAAGTGAAATACTTTTAAAAATATGTTACTAACAAAATCACCACACTGGAAAGAGATGAGTCCTGAATCCGAACTCTTTCTTACATCCATATTTATAGGAAAAGAGACCTTAAATATTTTAGGGATTTAAAACCATATTTCCATTCCCAGATACATCATTATTTTTTTCCTTCTTCTGAGTTCATCTCTGAAAATTTTTGTGCAATATTTATGATACATAAAAGGCATGAAGAAATAAACCAGCGAATACTCATGAAGCGAAAATGCTGCTTAAGAAATAAAATATTATCTATATAGCTGAATTGCCTTCTGTACTTTTTGTTGATCATAAAATCCTCTTCTTCCTTAGAGGCATCCACTAGCCTGAATTTTGATGTTTATTATTCATTTTATTCTTTGACTACAACTATAATACATTTCACGGGACATCTGACAAGCCACCTAATCTACCTGTACTAAAAGTTTTCACTGTGAAAAGTAAAAACAATGCAATAGATGAATACAATTTTATAGAGAGGTTCAAGATCGCTTTTCGCCACATTCTAAGTGGACATCAAGGCTCTATGCAAATTTCTCTGGGTCTGATTTTTGTGGATACAAATAACACTGTGTAAATGAAAAGGCTTTCAGCATGCAACAAACACTTGGAATCTACTACAACTGAAGTTTGTTCAGGGCACTCAAATTTTTGTATCAGTAACATCATTGATAATAAGTATTTTTTGAGAGAAAGGATGAATTTTCAAGATAATGCTAAAACACTAAACTTGACTCTTACATGAAGCTTATGGTCAAAAGTCAAGAGGGAAGGTAAAAAATCACTAGTTTCTCTATAATACTCAGCCATAAAAAGAATGAAATCTGCCATTTGCAACAACATGAATAGACCTAGAGAGTATAATGCTAAGTGATGAAGTCAGAGAAAGACAAATACCATATGATGTATTATATGTGGAATTTAAGAAACAAAACAAAGAAAAAAGACAAACCAAGAAACAGACTCTTTACTATAGAGAATAAACGGATGGTTACCAGGTGGGGAGGTGGGTGGGGGGGATGGGGAAAACAGGTGATGGGGATGAAGGGTACACTTAGCATGATGAGCAGTGAGTTATGTATAGAATTACTGAATCGCTATATTGTACACTTGAAATCAACATAACACTGTATGTTAATTACACTGGAATTTAAAAATTAATTATTTTAAAAATCACCCTAATTAAAAAAAAAATCACCCTTGAGGACTACTTAGGAGATTATCTGTTCAATATATCTACTGCAGCTAGATCTTCCTCCTGCAGGGTCACAGGTGACGGCTTCTTCTGGGGACTCCCAGCGCGAGAAGTTGGCTTGTGCTGTGAGGGACCAACCGCAGATCATGCATCTTATCTTTAGAGGTGAGGCTTGCCCTTTAGGGGAGTGGCGCAGGAACCAGGACTTCCCAGGACAGGAGCAGTCACCTCTGTGTCAGCTCAGTGTGGAATGGTTCCAAATCACCTGCTCATTTGCCTAGTTCCCATTTCCCAAAGCCGGTAGAGCTGAATATTCATAATACATATGTGCTGCCCAGGCGTTACATCTGAACATTTCTTCCTTCTCTGAGATTTATAAGGGGACACATACTCAGGTACAGGTCCTCCGGGATTGTCAAGAGGATTAATTCTGGAACTCATATGCCATCAAGTCACTTGAAAATGTGGGCTACGCAGAAATAAGGAGTAAAATCACAAAGGCTCAAAGTGGCCTCCAACATCCTTCCTCACCCTTGCAAGCAAGTCCAAGTAAGCATGATGCCTTGGGTTCTGAAGTGGATTGCTTTCAGTGGGCTAAGAGTGCTGCCGACTTCTTATTTCTTCCATTCTCTTCTCCCCTTTCTAGCTCATGCAATCAAAGTAACTAATTCCACTAGAGCTCATTACATTACCTTCAATGTTCAACATTCATTACTTCCTTGGAATTTTTCTTTTTCTTTTCTTCTTTTTTAGAAAGGAAAAAAATTTTTTTTTATTTTTTTATTCTTATGTTAATCCCCATACATTACATCATTAGTTTTAGATGAGAAAAAAAAAATTTTTTTTTAAGATTTATTTATTTATTTGAGGGAGAGAGTGTGAGCGCACGTGGGGGTTGGGAGGGGAGGCAGAGGGAGAGAGTCTCAAGCAGACTCCTCGCTAAGCATGGAGCCCAACACTGGGCTCAATCTCATGACCCTGAGATCATGACCTGAGCCAAAACCAAGAGTCAGATGTTTAACTGACTGAGCCACCCAGGTGACCCTGGAGTTTTTCTTTAAATGGCTTATTCTTATGTAGTTGGGGGCCCAAGACGCTATCACTGAGGATAGAGTATTTATTATTATTTTTACTTGTGGTTACTCTGAACTTCATGGGCTGCTCACCTTGCCCTAAAACCCACCATCAATTACAAGCTTCCCTTGGATTTGCATCTCCCTGTGGTTCATTCAGTCATGGTGTAAAAAGGACAGTGTGAGATTTCCCTGGAGAGCAGACAGACACGTGCCCACACACACATACACACAGAACATCTCTGGGATGAGAAAGGGAACATTTACTTCTGTAGGTATCCACTCTGACAGCTGGTGGAAAAATCTGCCAAATCACTAAAAATGAAAAAAAAAATCTAGCTAGTTTTGGGCCACCATGAGATACAGAGAGTGGGTCAACAGTGAGGGTCAACTGTGAGGCAGGCTTACTTATGGGGGACAGTTAATAACTTATATTTGCATACATGGAGAACATGGAAAGTGGGTGAACTTTTTACACTCAAACGGGCATCACACAGAGTAAAAACTTCTTCATGGCATAATTAACATATATTAACTCATAATTATTTGCTGACATTACACCATCTTGAACCTCTCTATTTGCATGGATGGAGGGGAACATTCCCAAGTAGTGGGTCATAATATATCACCACTCTCCGTTTGTTTCTCTCCTAGTAGATTTTATCTTATGAGTTTTACTTTCCTTTGATTAACAGAAGACCAGTTTGCATTCTCTTAAATTATACTGAATAGCCAGGGTGGTGGTGGTGATGCTATGATCCAGGGAGGCCTGGGTCCAAGTCCTGTCTCTGCCATTTACAAGCTGTCTTTCCTGAGCCCTGGTACAGAGCCTCTAGAAAGGTAATATCACAGTGAACAGAAATGTGAGTGGCCGTGCGCTTAGCATTTGGGGAGCCCTGAATACGTTTGGATGATTGAGGCTGTATGATGACGGCAAACAACCCAGACATGAATATAGAATGAGTTGACCAGGTAGTTAAAAAAAAAAAATCAAAGAAATGACAAAATGGGAAATAGTTGCAACTCATATCACAAAGGGCTGATCTCCCAATATAAAGAGCTCCCATAAACAAGCAAAGTCAAAGACCAAAAAGTTAATTAGGAAAAAAAAAAAAAAGCCAAAGATATGATCAGGCACTTCACAGAAATGGAGGTATAAATAAGTGAAATGTATGAAAAGATGTTCAAGCTCATTTATAATATAACAAATGCAAATTAAGTGTCATCGAGACTATACTACCTAGGAGATAGGCAAAAATCCAAAATTTTGATAAAGCTCAAAGGAAATTGGCACCCTGAAACATTATTAGTGGAAAGTAAGTTGCTATTTTTTTATGGAGGACATTTTCACAACCTCTTTCAAAATTACAAATGTATAGAACTCTATGACCCAGCAAATGCATGCCTATAATTTATCCCACACACGAACTAGCGTATGTATAAAACAACATATGTGTACATGGTTATTCATTCTAGCACGGTTTGTAAGGACAGAGGATTGGAAGCAAACTAGCTTCATCTGTTTCTGAAGAGGCAGGTCAGATTAATTATGGTTCAGCCACACACCGGAATACTATACAGCTATTAAAAAATGAGGAGATTTATTACACAGTGACATGGAAGATCTCTAGGATAAATTAAGTAAAGAATCAAGAGGCCGAATACTGTGTGTGGCATCCACCATTTATATACAAAAAGGAAAAAAAATCTGGCGGTGCATGTATTTAACTAAAAAATCCTTAAAAAGTTAACAGACCACTAGCAACAGTGATCGCTGGAGTTGGACACCGGGTAAAAAGACACAAGGATGGAAAGGACTTTTCTCAGTGTTCCTTTGAAAAGCAGTGTGAGGATAAACCCTTCTATGTATTACCATTCACAACATATTTTTGAAAGGTTTAGGGTTAAAAGCTATAACCTCCCACACACATACCCCCCCCCCACAGAGCTCTGCAAGCTCAGTTTCCTGGCAGAAAGGTTTGCTTCTGTGTGTTAAGGTGCTCTAGTGAATAGCAAATGCGAGCTGGACATGAATGAAGTTCTACTAAAGGAAATGTGGATCAATGGGTACCGGAGTCTGTCCATAGTTACAGGGCAGCTCAGCCAGGAGACACCAACCCTGGTTTTCAGAGGTCATGCTCTGGCAGACCTGTTGGGTGTGGGTATGGGTGCTGGCCTACAGACATCCAGCACAGAGACCCTTGGCGCATGCACGAAATGCTTAGCTAATGTGGTTAAACATGGGTGCAATGAACAGGGGTCCACTGGTCAGTGAAGA